TGGGAATATTGACCGTATACATATTCTTGCGGTACTAATTAAGCAGTCCCATTTGGGTTTTAAAAATATACAATTAAAGATGTCCCAAGAGCTGCATGAAAGTTGCATGGCTTTTGGTTATGGTTGTTGTGTAGTCAATGTAGGAATCATATATACTAGCACACAACGGTTGACAAGGTTGTAGTTCAAGTGACAACCCTAGCTATGGTTGGCCTTCAGATAAACTGAGCAGACCTTGTCAACCCCCAGAGAAGAACAGTGCCCTTTGAGTTTTTGAAATTTTTTTTAGCCTCCCATTTTAAATATACCTATCATGCCAAAGAAGATTAATTAATTAGGTCACGTGTAACATACAAGATATATGAGATTAATTGCCATCTCAACTCAATCCTAATTTCAGACAAACAAAAATAATATTCTCAATCCAAATGCCATAAAACCAAATGATTTACCAAAGTTGATTCAGATTGGGTCATCATACTAGTCAAGTAGCATAATCATCTCGCACAAATGAACCATTCGGTCATCGTATTAATTTGGTTTAGTGACATTAGTCTTTGTTTTTTGAAGAAGATATGTTCAATCTTACAAACGATAATTATTGAGTAAAAAATGCATGTTTCGAACCTCTCATACATTTTAAATGCATGTCCAAACAAAATCTTCTTGGCCCTTCAATCGTCTTCGATCCCAACTCAACCCTAATTTCAAACCAAACAAAATAAAATAAAAAATTTCAGTCCACATGAAATAGAATAATTCTTTCAATCAAAATGAAATAACACCAATTAATGAATGGCAGTTAATCCAAATAGGTTAAAAGAGGGCATAAAACCCAAGAGAATTTCTTATTTTGTTAACTCACACGAGACCCGATCTCCTTCTCTCCCGCATACTCTTCCCCATTAAATTTTGTTAACCCACACGAGACCCGATCTCCTTCTCTCCCGCATACTCTTCCCCATTAAAACTCATACTTTTTCGAATATTTGTCTTCACTTGACAGAATCTCGCTCTCTAGGTCTTCAAATATAGTACACACACCCCCTAAAGATCATGTCACACATTTCTAGTAAATTTTAGGTGTCTTTTAGCCAAACCTAATCCTTGAGATGATGCCTTTTCGCAACCTCTTGTCTTCCCAATTAATAAACAAATGGTATGATCTTATGTCATGACAAATTGTGGAAATTCTATTGTAAGATGCTTTGGAAAGTAAATACTTGGACATTGGGTAAAATGGCAAGAAAAAGAGACAACGCTTTTTTATTTTATTTTTTTATTTTTTAATTTTTTGTGAAGAGACAATATTGGGGTGAAGTTTAATCTTATCAACTTAGTTTTCCTCATATTCCCCCAATTGCCAAATAGATTGGGGTAGGCAAGACTTTTTACGCTTGTCAAATTTCAGCAATATTAGCAAAGTTTTAACACAAAAAAAATATTTAAAAAATTTGACACGTGTCAAAACCATATTTGTTGTAAGGAGGAACTCCTCCTCAATTTGAAGGAGCGAAGCGTTTTCCCTTTTATTATTTCAAAGAATGAATGATGGTCGACAAGAATTTTGATGACTTGGATGGTTATTGAGCTCGATATGAGTTATGTCCCCTGGTTACTATGAGATTCTTACTATACAATAAAATAAAAAAACAATTAGTAATTACAAACACCCATAATTAGGGCTCGCATGATTAATCAAACAACTTCAAATGAAGGCTCCCTAAAAGCTCTATTTATAGTAATATTTGGGGTTACATGATTAGGAATAAGAATTAAATCAGGAATCAAATCACGACTATAGGAAATTAAAACAAGCAAACCTGCGGAGTCTCGCACAAATGAACCATTCGGTCTTCGTACTAATTTGGTTTAGTGACATTAGTCTTTGTTCGTTGAAGGAGATGCTATATATGTTCAATCTTACAGACGATAATTGTTGAGTAAAAAATGCATGTTTCGAACCTCTCATACATTTTAAATGCATGTCCAAACAATATTAATTATTAGTTCAAATGTAACATACAAATGAGATTAATCCTCATCCTCTATCTTCCTGGCCCTTCAATCGTCTTCGATCCCAACTCAACCCTAATTTCAAACCAAACAAAAAAAACAAAAAAAAAATTTCAGTCCACATGAAATAGAATAATTCTTTCAAGCAAAATGAAATAACACCAATTAATGAATGGCAGTTAATCCAAATAGGTTAAAAGAGGGCATAAAACCCAAGAGAATTTCTTATTTTGTTAACTCACACGAGACCCGATCTCCTTCTCTCCCGCATACTCTTCCCCATTAAAACTCATACTTTTTCGAATATTTGTCTTCACTTGACAGAATCTCGCTCTCTAGGTCTTCAAATATAGTACACACACACCCCCTAAAGATCATGTCACACATTTCTAGTAAATTTTAGGTGTCTTTTAGCCAAACCTAATCCTTGAGATGATGCCTTTTCGCAACCTCTTGTCTTCCCAATTAATAAACAAATGGTATGATCTTATGTCATGACAAATTGTGGAAATTCTATTGTAAGATGCTTTGGAAAGTAAATACTTGGACATTGGGTAAAATGGCAAGAAAAAGAGACAACGCTTTTTCATTTTTTTATTTTTTTATTTTTTGTGAAGAGACAATATTGGGGTGAAGTTTAATCTTATCAACTTAGTTTTCCTCATATTCCCCCAATTGCCAAATAGATTGGGGTAGGCAAGACTTTTTACGCTTGTCAAATTTCAGCAATATTAGCAAAGTTTTAACACAAAAAAAATATTTAAAAAATTTGACACGTGTCAAAACCATATTTGTTGTAAGGAGGAACTCCTCCTCAATTTGAAGGAGCGAAGCGTTTTCCCTTTTATTATTTCAAAGAATGAATGATGGTCGACAAGAATTTTGATGACTTGGATGGTTATTGAGCTCGATATGAGTTATGTCCCCTGGTTACTATGAGATTCTTACTATACAATAAATAAATAAAAACAATTAGTAATTACAAACACCCATAATTAGGGCTCGCATGATTAATCAAACAACTTCAAATGAAGGCTCCCTAAAAGTTCTATTTATAGTAATATTTGGGGTTACATGATTAGGAATAAGAATTAAATCAGAAATCAAATCACGACTACAGGAAATTAAAACAAGCAAACCTGCGGAGCATTCTAACCGGTCACTAGGATTGGGAGACCGCCGATCGACCTCGAACTCACACTCCCGTACATTCTGACCCCGGCCGGTTTGGATGCCTTCTTTGGTGAATCATTCTCCACAGCTCAATAATTTGCAACTTTAGAATTATTCTATATGTATATATATTAATTACACAGTGCAAGTTTCAAATAATCTCTCTCTCTTGAGATTCGAACTAGGAATGGCATGGTAGATCTGCCATGGTGTCTGACAATGACAAAAGAAAAGGGTGTGTGTAATTTACATCTTCATTCTTTAAAGAAAGGGTATAAAATAGAAGACATAAATATACTGATTATATATATAATATATGGAAATTCTCCTATGCGGATATTCGTATGTTATTATTGTGCAGACGTTATGTAATATTTTGTACTACCTCTCCTTGCTTTCCTCCCTATTAACTATGATGTCCGCATGATAATAACGTGTGAACATCCGAATGAGAGATTATATATTAACATCTTCAGATAATGAAGAAAAAAAAAAGGAGTCATATATTCACTTGTAATTAATCAAGCACTAGCTAGGGAACAGTTTACATATATAAAAGGAGTCCAATTTCGGCTGATCTGGGGTTGAACCACAAGTGGTGGTATTCCATATGTTTTAATAATAAATAAATAAAACCAAGTGTTTTGTTTTTATAAGTAAATTAATCTCAAGACACTTTCATGCAGAGTGTGATACTTGTCATATAATGCCTAGCTCAAGGACTTCTTGGAAGGCCAAGGCTGTTATATTCAACCATTTGAAGAGTAGTGCAGATGAGGACAGATTAAATAAGATTGTTAAGAATATGTACAACAATAAACAAAACAGTGGGGAACAAAAATCAGAGAAGAAGAGGACAAATGATTGTTTAGAAAATATGGGGGCAAGAAAATTATGTGCATGCATGGCCAGGTTTACATCAATGATATGAGGACGACGGTTTACCTTTCCCACTGTATACTTGGACCGAGATTTGATTCATTTTGCAATAGAATAATTGGGTTGGAATAAAATTAACAATCTATATAACATTATAAGTTTTTATATATATCTATACATACACACAACTTCAACGGAATACTTTCTCAAATAAGTTTATTTGAGAGATCTTTCTATATTGTATTTTAATGATCCGAATCATCAGTTTTTTAGGTCCATCAAAAATATATATCTCTGTGAAAAATCACTTAAATTCGAAATCACTCAATCAAATGGTTGTCATTTTTCGTGTTTTCTTGAAGTTCGTTTATTTGGTGGTCATTACTAGATGCCTTAGTAATCTATGAATGAAGAATCGAAAAATAAACAATATGGATAGATTGAAATAAAATTTTACTGAACAATCAAATAAAATTGTTATGGATCCCACAATAGAATATATAACAATAAGGAGATAGACCTACTCACTAGCAGAGGTCAACTAATAAAGATTATCACGGATAGGTAGGCAGAGAGAGAAATGGACAACCTGTCAAATTAAGAACAATCGGTAAAGAGGAAAGGCTCGAGAAGTCACATGATTTTCAACAGTAGTGTTTTGCTGTAAAAATATAGATCAACTCCTGTCCGACTCCGACCATCGTCTTCTTATAATACAATATTGTGAATTATTAAATATTAATTATTGAAGTCTAAGAATATATGAATGTAATGCAGCATAAAGCTTTATTTCCACATATTCTTCTATATCTCTAATACATATAAATTCAACTTAGCTATATATATTTCTCGATACCACAAGGAAGGAGCACACAGTAAATGCTCTCTCTCTCTCTCTCTCTCTCTCTCTCTCTCTCTCTCTCTGTGATTCGCATGTATGTACTGTTGGATCAACTGGGTTTGGTGTCAGCTGGTTACATGGTGGATTTATGATGAAGGTTCAGTTGACGTGCGCAGTGCTTGATTTCTGTGTATGGATATTGTAAGTTTGAAATTATAACCCTCTATCTTGAATCTGCTTTCGAACATATGTATATATATATATATGTAGTAGCTGTTTATAGCTAGGTTTTGGATAAAATATTCGTCGTTTGAGGTAAAACTTGATAAGCTTTATTTAGCCATAGGTTTAAATCTAATTGAAAGTCTTATTAATTTTCATCACGATGACTTTAGAATCAAGGAGAAAAGAAATGGAGGTGCTTGTTGATCACTAATGGGTTTGTACTAACCTTGATCACTTTCACTTTCTCTCATGTACTTTGGATTTCACAGTTATTGAGCAGATTATTAGATTCATCTCAGATAATTATCAGATCAAAGAGTACTGAATTGAAACTTTCATAATTCATGATCTTAATTATCTTCTCTCTCTTACCGTTATTTAAAGCTACTATCATCATTAATTAAATTGAATCGCACAGCTGCAACCAAGTTCATCAATCTACTTGAGAAAAGGAATGAAAATGATCCATGTGGATTTTGCTGCTACACTCCAAACTACCACTCTAATTTACCCCCTTCTAGGGTGACGGGTTCGGCTCGCGTAAGCAAGGACTAAAATGCAACACTTTGGAGTAGAACTATGTGCCTTAACTAAACTAGTTAGGATTTAGTTTTCGAAATTTGTTAGAAGTTTCTCTAGATCTTGGTACCATACAAGAAGAATTAATGATTCACGGTCTGATAACAGAACAAGCTTGCATGACTTGGCAAGACAATTTATCTATATATCTCATATATATGTATAGAAATTTATATATAAATGAACTACTCTTACTATATTGTTGCAACATAAGATACTTATATTGCTAGACTAAATCTATACCAATATTGATCATCAAGTTCAGAAAGTGATGAGGCATGCTAAGTGGAGGACCGAAAGAAATATATAGAAGAGATATGGCGCCTGAGAGAATTGAGATTTCTGATGAAGATGATCAAAGCAGTGATGCAAGTTTCGAAATTCAAGCTAAAAATGACTGTTTACTCAGTTCTCAAAAGTGTTTGTTCTTTGACCTGAATGAGGAAGCAAGTACTGGAGATGATGATCAGGATGTTTCATCCAACGAAGGCACCCAAGCCGTCGGCAGCAGAACATCTCCAGAAGGTAATTTAAGTTGTAATAACACAAGTGTTGAAGGAAAAGAACGGACAATTGCAGTAAGGCAATATGTTCGATCCAAGATGCCGAGGCTTCGTTGGACTCCTGATCTCCATCTAGCATTCGTCCATGCTGTTGAGAGGCTCGGCGGACAAGAAAGTAAGTTTTAATTTATTTACTAAGTAATTTACGCTTTAGTCTCTTAAGTCAACCATTGTTGGGTTCAGCTGATCATAATACAATTCAATGGTATGAACTTTCTATTTTGAGTTTTCTTTAACAATGAAAGTATATATAGAATTTATTTTCTAGGGTCTTACAATTTTGCTTTTTTTGACACAAACTATATTCTATTTTAATTTAATCCAAACTACGACGGAGAGAGAGATTCGAACTCAAGTGCAGAGTGGGGAGCACATCTAATCTAGCCAACTTGGCTAAGCCCATATTTGCGGTTTCACTATTTTGTTAGTTTGCAAGAAAGTATAGTAGTAAGGATAACTTGAGAGGTTTCATTTACAAGGACTCAAACTCAGTATGCCCATTTTGAAATATATATGTGATAAGTTTAATTGATTTATCACTGTTGAAAGCTTGAGCCTTAAGTTACCTCTCAAGTTTTAAGCATGTGGACCAATTATTACTTGATAGTCTAATTCATATATTGGTGTTGTTCTCTTTTAAATTTCTGTTTTGTAACTGAACTGAAAACAGGAGCAACTCCAAAATTAGTTCTTCAATTGATGAATGTGAGAGCACTTAGCATTGCCCACGTAAAGAGTCACTTGCAGGTAATTAACTTTTCACTGGTGCCCCTAACTGGATATGTTTAGTTTTTATTTTGTATCAATTAATTTTCAGTTCTATAGTTTCCTGAATCATCATGAAATTTTTGAATCAGCAGATGTATCGAAGTAAGAAGCTGGACGAGTCAGGCCAAGGTAAAGTATCAAAACCCACCTTAAATTTTGGAACTAATTCGCTATTGGTCCCGTAAATTTTTATTTTTTATTTTGAGAGGAAACTGGAAACCCAAAGTGTTTACATGAAGCAGATGTGGATTAGGTTTGAGTTGATCCCTTTCCCCGTAGATTAGAGTAGTTTTGACCAATTGGATTCTTATTGTACGCCATAAAGCAATGCCTTTCTTCGAGAGAAAAGCTCACAAAAAGTTTGTATACTTGTTCTGTTCAGTTATCTCTCAATCAAGTAGAGGAATGCAAGTAAAAGATCACATTCTGGAAGTCTACCGCAAATTCAATCCTTATGGGCACTTAAGACATGTTGATGACAACGGAAGCCATTTTTCTTCTCCACCGGTATTGAAACAGCAGCCATATGATGATTTCAACGCAAACTCTTCAAGGTAATTTAACAGTCAAACCTAAAGAACTTGTATGCTTAATTATTTACTAAATTAAGGGAGAAATGTTGCTTGGTAGACATACGGATCACATGTTAAGTTGCGAAACTGTAAAACTGGACTATTGTCGGACATATGAATGGATTCAAGTTTGGATATATATGTAGTCCAGAATTCACAGTTTCACAACATAAAATGTAAGCCATTTGACGAAAAGAACATTCCCGGTATGAAAGGCTCTATACACATAGATAGATACCAACCTTGAGCTTTTTGTGATCCTTTTGTGAAGGTCGATTTCATTGTGGAGAGAAAATTCCGGGATAGACAACCATGGGAGCAATATAAGAAGCTCACACATTTTTCATGTAAGGGAAGCAAGAACAAGAGATGGGCCTTTTAGACCCAGCCGATTTCTTGAAGAGAAGAGATGGCCTCCTTGTCAATTGATTGGAAACCACATGAAGGGTAGGAGACATTTGCTAAACTTTACTTGGGGTGATATCAACAATGTTCCACAACCTAATAACTTAGTATGGAGCGCCAAAGCAAGTACCATTAACCAACATCAACCCAATACATGCAGTCCAAAGTTCATCTCTAGTAGCTATGAACCCTTATCTCAGCTTGAGGTAACCACTTTTGCTTCAGTTATATAATTATTTGTAACATTTTTACTGGCTATGCATATTCAAGATTCATTTTGATACGCAGGTTCAAAAACTTCAATGCACAAATGAAGAAATGTTTCAACCAAAAGTTGGCCCCAACATGAAAACGATGAGACAGAAGACATGGGTACCAGATTTACAGTTAAGTTTAAGTCACGATTTCAGCAATGGCAGTGTGGTAAATGATAGCCAAGAAAGCAGGAAAGATTTTGAATCAATGCTTTCTCTTTCGTTGTCCTCCTCTTCGGCCAGGCAACAAGAACAATCCACTACACCTACGTCAAGAATTCGACTCTCGGTTTCAAGGACTTAGGTGTTCTTGAAAAGAAAAAAAGAAAAAAGAAAACATTAAGATATTACCCAAGTTGTAAATTGAAATCAACAAACAAATTGCACTAGAACTACTTATGGGCTAAGTACTTAGTACGATCTGACCGTGCATGTTGATAAGGCATGGGAGTGAGATCTTGTAAGTACTTATCTCAAAAGGTCATCTGCGTGGCCTTGAATAATATGGGTTTATAAAATTGAATAATTAGTTTCTAGTTATTATTATTATTATTTTTTTGTCTGAAGAAAAAAACCTAGAAGGTTGCTTGCTCTTCACACATAGAAGGTGATGTGGATCATCTCGAGGATTTGCTAGTTGTATGTATAATGAAGCACAGGACGATTCATAAGTTGATGAAAGTGTACGTAATTCTTGATTACCCCTTTCACTTTGAGGGTCACCTTTGCCAATTTTCTTGGTGAGGATGCTGAAAGTGTAGCCGTTGGTTGAAGTAAAAAAATAAGGGAAAAGATATATTTTTGGTTACTGGAGTTAGGGTAAAAAACGATTTTGGTCACCGTAATTTTAAATTTTCTAATTTCATCATTGCACTTGCAGTAGTTAACAAATCAAGTCCATTCTAAGACTAGGAGGAGAGACTTTGGTAGACATTCGAAGTGGTCGTCGTCCATGGACGATGGATCTGGGTATACTCTGACGAAGATATGGGTCAATAGATGCCATATTTTCTTAGGTCATGTTTGATATGGAGGATTAGGAAAAAAAGAAAAAAGAAAACATTAAGATATTACCCAAGTTGTAAATTGAGATCAACAAACAAATTGCACTAGAACTACTTATGGGCTAAGTACTTAGTACGATCTGACCGTGCATGTTGATAAGGCATGGGAGTGAGATCTTGTAAGTACTTATCTCAAAAGGTCATCTGCGTGGCCTTGAATAATATGGGTTTATAAAATTGAATAATTAGTTTCTAGTTATTATTATTATTATTATTTTTTGTCTGAAGAAAAAAACCTAGAAGGTTGCTTGCTCTTCACACATAGAAGGTGATGTGGATCATCTCGAGGATTTGCTAGTTGTATGTATAATGAAGCACAGGACGATTCATAAGTTGATGAAAGTGTACGTAATTCTTGATTACCCCTTTCACTTTGAGGGTCACCTTTGCCAATTTTCTTGGTGAGGATGCTGTGTAGCCGTTGAACTAAAAAAATAAGGGAAAAGATATATTTTTGGTTACTGGAGTTAGGGTAAAAAACGATTTTGGTCACCGTAATTTTAAATTTTCTAATTTCATCATTGCACTTGCAGTCGTTAACAAATCAAGTCCATTCTAAGACTAGGAGGAGAGACTTTGGTAGACATTCGAAGTGGTCGTCGTCCATGGATGATGGATCTGGGTATACTCTGACGAAGATATGGGTCAATAGATGCCATATTTTCTTAGGTCATGTTTGATATGGAGGATTAGATTGGTCTAACTTGGACTAATAAAATGACTAAATTTTATGTGAATCAAGGAAGAATATGGATGGTGTTTTCTAACTTGAAGGATTAAGGTAGACATGTGAGGTTGATGTTTAAAATTTATCTTCAGTAATCCCCTTGAAATTGATGGGATTAATAGAGATAAGTTTTAGGCATCAACCTCTTATGAATAGTTCATCCTAATCCTCCAAGTTAGAAGACAACACCCATAATATTTCTTAATTGCACATGAAATCTAGGCCTTCTAATAGCTAGTCAAGTCTACTCCTCCATATCAAACATGGCCTTATGGTTTTGCTTATTCCTGCGTTGATTAAAATGGATAAGGGAGAAGGTTAGATAAGGGTAAAGGTGGATTTGGGGTAGATCTGAGAGGGGAATTATTGGTTTGCAGAGATTTGAAAGAGGGTTTGCAGATTTTGAAGCAGCTATACAAAACAATACTATTAAACACCCTACCCCACTTCCCTATCTTCCATAGAATAGAGTCCAACCAAGGTGGTGCCGCATCAGTCCAAGGGAAACGGGTGCTTTCTTTCAAGCCATATTGGGCAAGAGCATGTGCCACACAATTGGCCTTTTGAGGTTGATACAAAACATCTGTCGCATCCCTATTGAATCTTCCACCACATTTCCAAATGTTGCTCCACCGGTCCATTCTACCATTAAGCATATACGGCTTCTTGGGAGTTAGTTGCAAGAATAAAGCGATTAAATCCCAATGAGCCCATTATCATTAAATCTTAGGTCATGGTTTTGAATAATTAAAAAAAAAAATACAAGCGATATTAGGTGATAGATAATTCGAATCGTCTCTGATATTGGGATAACCACTTAAGTTACAAGTTCCTTGTTTGAATAATCTTTATATACGAATATAAGACCATTATTATTACGAGCTCTAAAGTCTTGTGTTCAAAAAAAAATTTATGATTTAAAAGTGAACTTTGAGGGGTTAAAAAAGTGGTCATTCTATCAACATTTGATGACGGAAATTGTCAATTGTCCTCAAATTGTAAATGGTAGGGAATACACTGCCCAAAATGGGAAATTACGGATTATTGCATTTTTGTTGATAGAAATTTAAAGTGAATTTTAAATCGAGAATGACAAGCACTACCATGACAATTAATAAAAACACTATCTGACCACCATATATACATGCATGTACGAAGCTCCTTTAATATAACATAGCCTAGAATCCAATACCTTATTTTTGGTTCAATCACAGTTGGAAAAAATACAGAGATTACAAGAGCCAAAAAAGTCAATACATAGGAACAAAGAACAACAAGCATATGAGAGTTCAAACTAAAAACCATTACAGTCTAGCAAAATGAATCTTCCCCATCACAAAGCCAAAATAAAATACAAAACAAAAGCAAACAAAGCCATTGCCACAAAGGGAACAAGGACTGCACCAACATAGCGACAAAAGGGGAGATACACTTCCCTCACATAAATCAGCACAGCTACACAAAGAGACTCACCAATTTGCAGCCGAGAAACAAATTTCCCCAAATCACAAAAGTACATCCACACTAGAACATCCATCTAAGACACACAATCTCTGTGAAGGCCGAATCCGCCTCTGTACCATAGAGAAAACAACAACCATTCAAACCATGGTATATCCCAAAAGACCAAAACCAAGAGAATGGAAGATAGTGGTGCAAACACCAGAGCAGGAGCCATAGCTATAGCCATAGTAAGAGCTCTATACACTTTCCAGAAAATACGCGAAAATTCGCTTATAGAAGTGGTTGATGTAGCCCAATGGAGAGGCCATATCCAGAATGTGGATAAGGCAAGAAGAGGAGGGGATGTAGAGGAGGAAGTAAATATGTTTGTAGGGGGTGTTTGGCGACGAACGGGGGACACAAACTTAGCCTGACATTTAAACTCAGATCTGAGCACAAGGCTCAAACAACCACCACTAGGGAGGAGCCACCAACTCTTAAGAGAGCCACAGCACGGCCAAACAAGCTCTTGCCAAAAATAAGAACACACGCACCATGAGACACCAATGCAAAAAAGATAGAGAAGTAGCAGAGCAAACGAGAAAAGGGGGAGGAGGGATATGCCTCCTCCTCCCCAAAAAGAGAACTGTGCAACGATGAGAAGAAGAGAGGAAAAGGCACTTAGGTTTTTGTTTTTGTTTTTAATTGTTGGGAATCCAATACCATTATCAACAAAAACTCTACTTATAAGAAGGATATGTCTTGTTTACCTAAATTCGAACTTCTTTTATGACACAACTATAAGATCTCTTTCCTAAGTATTTCCACCTCCACCACCACAACCTCCACCACAACCTCCACCACAAGCTCC